TGCTCCTCCTCATCGGCCACCACCTGCAACCCACGACGATGATGTGTGAAAAGTGCGGCTGCCTCCGCCGCCGCCGCTCTCTCCCTAGCCTGTTGCCTCTTGCGGTGGGCGGCACACACCTTCGATTCGGGTGTGCGCGTCAGCGTTGCCAGCGGAGCAGACACTAACACCCAGCTCTACCTGCGGAGCAGCGAACGGAGGATGAGGAGGGAGGCGGGCCAACGGCACGGAGAGGTACGCGGTGCGGGACGGGCCCGCTTTGGCGTCATCATTATGGTGGCGGGCAACATGGAACGGAGGAGGGGAGCTTCCGCCCGTGAATGCTGCAGTGCAATGCGGAGGGCCAGCTCCTCCTCGCTGCCATCCGCCTTGCGGAGGAAGGTGTCCCACTCGTCGCTAGATCCCTCGGAATGGTTGTTGTTGCTGGATATCGTGGACGGAGATGGGGAGGGGAACGAATTAAGGAGTGGAAGAAGAAGAGATGGAGAACGGTGCAACAGTGAAGTGTATGTATTATTTAAATATCCCAAACATGGCATATTAGAAATATAAGTCTAGTGTATTATTTAAATATCCTAATTTTTTATTTAAAAATTGCAATGTTCACATGTTTCAGGTCGGGTCGGGCTTGTGATTTTGAGGCCAGGCTTTGCAAAGCTCGGCCCGAACCAGGCCCGGACCGGAGGGCGGCCAGTTTACCAGGCAGTATAGCTGCACGCTTCCGAGCACGGCATGGTTCACCGTTCACGTAACGCACTCTGGCAAAAAAAAAAAAAAGGCAACCAGCTGCGCTAACGCACCCACTTGCTGGTCCACTACGAATGGTGCGCAACGCAGCCGGAGGCTCGGTGGACGCCGCCTTCCCTTTCCGCCCACACCACCTTGCGGCGGCACGGCATCCTTTGCCTCACCGGCCCGCACCCGCTTGTCGTGTGAGTGTAGGCAATACTATTATATTATTACAGTATTGTCTCAAAAAATATATACTGTATTATATTATACAGTATATATATATATGTGTGTGTGGATGAAAAGGCTTAACCAAAACGCCTGGGTATGTACGTCGCTTCTAATACTAATTTGATTGCTCCCGATCATGTGGTACTTTGTGTGGCTGTGTGCAAAAGCTTCTAACTCTCCGTACTGTCTGCACTTAAACTACACTCAAAATATAAGACATAATTATATCCCAAGATACAATAATATCGTAGGCCAATTCCACCGCAAGACCCCAAACGGACGTCCGTTTCGACCGTTTTTTGTCCGTTTAAGGTGGCAATGGGGACTAAAACGGACACGCATGTCCGGCTCTTGGTCGAGGCGCCCACCGCGGCGACTTTATCCCAAATTGTCCGCCTCGCGTCCGCCTCGGCCACACGCCCACGCACGCGCCTTCCCGCCCGCGAGCTCGTGCTCTCGCCATGCCGGTGCAGTGGACGAGGCTGTGACGAGCCGCGCCCCGCCGTGGTCGAGCTCGCATCGCCGGCCCGCGTCGCCTCCCACGGCCGCGCCGGCAGCAGTG